GATTCCAAAGATACCATAAAGAAAATACATCGTACACTTAAAATCAATTGACAATATAGCATTTAAAAGACATTCTCCAGAATATAAGTATATAGATATATATCCCATATCACATTTAAACATCTATTCATATGTTCTCGTGGTCTGTTGCATAATAATATGTGCTGTTAGATGCTTTAATTATTCCAAGCCAGCAACAGTTATATTTCAGAAGGAAATGACGTTTCAATTGTTGTGTAATCATCACTGCAAGGCTTCATGTTGTCTGCAACAGAAACAACATTTGTGCAGGTTTTTCGTAGAAAGTTAGGTGGAGACAGGGAATGACAAAGCTAGCTTTTTTTCCCCCCCAGATTGACTTACATTAAAAATTCAATTTTATGTTCTCTTTTTCCAGAAAATTGACTTCTGGATAAGTGTAAAATCTGCACAATTGGGACAAAAAGTATCCACAGCCAGATTACAAAGTTGACCATAATTTAAGCAAATATATATGTAATTCAAAAGTCCGAGGAGCACTTGGCACACCACCTCAAATACCCAACATGTTTGTCTTTCCCTTTGAAGGATATTTACTCCTCCAGTACACGTGTGATTATTAATTATTTGAAAACATTACAAGAGACTTTTCCACTCTTCTTTATGCATCAGCTTAAACAAGGACAGAGACCTATTTCTAGCTAATAATAATTTGTAAAGTATTTGAAACTTACAGTTCATTTTACAAAGGAAGCAGTACTGTAATTACAGTATTTTCAGATGTTCATGTAGAAATCTGATATTTGTTATTAATATATTTTCTTTGTTAAATAATTACTTCAAAATACTCCTTATATCAGGCACAAAACCAGAGTGTGAATTTCTCTTCACAGCTTTTGAAAATGGAAACTTTTTACTAGGAAGCTAAATATATGAACTAGCTGTGCTAAACCCCCTTTATTCTGCTTTTCTGACATGTTAACTCATTTGTAACAAAATACCTTTTACTTTCTATTTATTCCTTTATTATTAAGGTATTTTCTTCTGTTCTCATCTTGAATACAATACAGTAAGTCCAGCATAAGCTTTGACCTCATGAGAATTAGAAGATTATTATTTAGAGAGAAAATTTTAAAGCCTATAGTCACTTTGCAACTAGGTGTCAACAGAAGCCACCAAGCTTTTCACGTACTAGCTGGTAACTACTATTATAGCCCATATTACCCAGGAACACCTCAGATTTCCTCTAAACTATAGTAAAGGCAAAAATGACTTGATTTAAATAAGTAAGGGTAGAAAGCTAAGGGGAAATAAAGATTTATCCTACTTTCTGATAGCTAGGTAGATTTACAGATAGATTTAAACGTTCAGAGAGAAGTCCTGCCTGGAGCACATCTCGGTCAGTTAACAACTGCACAATTTTAAAAGGAAATGCCTGAAACAGGAGAAAACATCCTTGTAATACTGCTGAGGGTTAAAAGAATACATGACTCTTCTTTCAGCTTTTTGTTGACAGAATCTGCAAAACGGGTATTGAGAAATACTATTGTTTCTGTGAAGAAAGGATTAAGTTGTTTTAAGATAAAAATCAAGGTGTGACATGGGGAGCTTTGGGAGCAGGAAAGCGCCAAAGCCATTCATGAGCACAGGGTATAGCTGTGTCCAAACCAGCTTTCCATGAACTCCTGTCCACTCTATTTGTCAGGGAGACAATCCACTCCACTAGATACAGTTGGATGCCTAGATCTCCACACTGCCACAGCCACGCCGGTTTTATCCCAGTTAGCACACGTGTACAGATGCTGTGCTGCAAACTTCTTCCAGAGTTTCGTCAAAATGTTTCACCATTTCAGCAGTATTTTTGACAAAAAACGTACAAAAATGAGTGAACTTCAGGGAAGGGTGAAGAACTGTAAACAATAGATTGCTGTGACCAGCTTTGAGCTGGAATCTCACAGGATGCCTTAAGGTCAACTTGTGCTCTGACAGCTCTGATTTGGTCTACCCCTTCCCCACAACGTTACAGCTCTCGGGAAGGCTGTGCTCGTGGAAAGGTCATGGAACGAGTACAAAAGTACTTGCAACAACCAAAGTAGTGCAGCCTGATGGAAGGCACATTCCAGCAAGCAACTGAGAGCCTAAAGAAAATCCAGTTTTCTGAAAGCAGAAGTCAGTGGAGAGAAAGAAGGTGTTCTGGCCTCATCAGACAATTTTTAGAATGCAATGTCTGGCTCACCGAGAGGATGACTCTTATCTTAGCATGTATTTATATGAAGAAATAGAGAGATAGAACTTTGCTTTAGTATGCACTGCCACCATTGCAGGAATGCTGGTAGTACTGTGGCCCATTCACAACCCAAGAAAACAAGAATATGTACTGGTCTTGAGGGTGATGGTGTTTTTTTTTTCCCTCCTTAAACCAACAATCTGGTATTTCTTCAGCTACAAAAGCCTCAGAAGGTTAGTTAGAAGCTGACAGCCACAAGTCAGTCAGTAGGCTCCAAAAAAGGACAGTAGATTAGAACTCTCTGGTGTCAAAAGATCCCAAAACAGGTGGCCCTTTACCCATTTCGTACTCGAAAAGGGACAAGCAATCTTCTTCCTCTTGAATTTGAATAATTTACCATTAGTAGCTGCAAGGGATAATTGGCTACTTATTTTCAGAAGTGTTTCAAAAGAAGATCTCAGGTGATGGGCACGAGTTAACTGTCTAACATTGAATGAGATACTCCCAAGTCTGCAGAAGATCCATTGACACCAGATGTTTCCAGCCTGAGCTTTCTAAAGAAACGGTGTTTGCCAAGTGTTTAAGAAGGGATATACTGAAGGGTGGCCTAGAGAAGTTCAACAATCTTGCGAAAAACTGTTACAACATTGCTTGCATCAGTTTCCACTAAAATTAACAGATAACTATAGTTGGAACATTGCGTTGCCTTCTGAATCTTGAGAAGAGGAGGTGTCAGAAGTAGCAACAAGGTCTCCACCTAAATGAAGGTGAGGGTGCTGCCAATAACATTTGCCCGTAGACACAGAGATGCATCTGCTTGCCTGCAGTACACTTGAAAAGTTCATTTCCCTGAAAGGGTAAGTGCTCTATACAAACACCCGCATGCCTTATGAAATCTGCAGAATATGTCAGGACTAAATAACACGTCACTAACAGTGCCACAGCCATGTCTACAAAGTCTAAGTTACTCAACTCTGAGTGAACTAAAGGACAAGTATGCCACTAGTATTTGTTGATCCGAAGTCACTTAGGCACTTATTCACACGGAACGTCTGTCCAACAACAAAAAAGTCACACGTTGCAGGAAGTGCAAGATAGTGAACATCAAGAGTCACTGACAGTTTTCCATTCAGAGGAGCCAATTTTTCTTTGGCTACCTTGGAACAAAAAGGTTCTGACTTGTTGCTGTAAATCCTGTCCAGTTCCATCTGCGTTGGTACTGGTAAAGTAAGAAACATCTGTTTGCTCACATATCTCAGCAACCTGGTCCCTAAAGAAATCTTGCTTAGAACTGCAGAACTAACATGGTCTAATACGAGCCCCTTGATAGAGCACAGTGCTGAAGAACCCCATTTCAGCACAAGGTTATGTAGCATACATGCATAATGGACTGTCTACTTGAATAGATGCAAAGGTAGCACGTCAAATTGCTGTTACATGACCACCAGTACCAATTTAATTCTGGTTGAGGCTGATAGCAAAAAAAGGTCTGCGAGTTCTCTGTAGAACTGTTCTCCCTATTATCCAAGGAAAAAAGACAAAGCTGCAGAGCAGACAGAGTTCTGAGTGTTCTTTTGGTTTGCAAGTTTCGAATGACCACAGCTCCATTAAAGTTGCCATTCGAGGTAGGCAGCCAGCTCCTTACAAATGTCACATGTCTCCCATGTGGTTTCAGCCTGTCTACTGAAATTCATTCTGCGCGGCGCTTTGGCAAACTTGTACCACACATCACAGTCTCTCTCATCAGCATTAAGGCAGATGCTTTTCATGATCACCACTGTATTATTTCACACTTGAGAACTGCTTTCACTTCATACCTATGAACAAAGAGGGTCTGACATCACATGACAGACCAGATTCAAGAAAACCTGTTGATGCTCACTCATTTAATACATTTTTAGGCACTTAGTAGTTTAAATCCATTGTCTAATAAGCAACTCACTTTATGTATGAAGAGGTATGGTCAGCATGCACTCTCACATGGCAGCCACAGATACTAAGGAAGAAAGAGACAGCTGATTCTGCTCTGTTTACCCTCAGTAAATCCAGTAACTTTCTTGATACAAGGCCCAGCTTCTAGCTACAAAAAACCCCAGTCCTGATTCGTCATCTGCAGAATTTCTGTGGATAACTAACTAAAACAAAAAAAATATGTGTCATGTATGACATTGCTTAATATCACACAAGTCTGAGACTTCACTCTTATTCAAGAGGTTTTTCAGTCTCTATAACTAGATTGATTTATATCCCTGCAGTACCAGTGCTCCAAAGCCTATGGTCTAGTAGTTTGGTGCCCAGGCCACCTGAGAATGCAGTAAGGCTCAGGCATTGAACTAGTCACTTAAACAGTCATAACTAAGGTAAACCGATACAACTGGAACTCAAGGCTACCAAACCTAATCAGCGTATTTATAAGGAGACAGGGAGAACATCCGAGTTAAACTTAAGTCTAAGATCACTGCTTCAGTTTTAATACATCACTAAAAATCCATGTGGAGACTGACACCAGCTCCAAGAGGGTGTATTAGTTGCTTTTGCTGCCCTATACTGACATGACTTCTTCAAAGAGAAGGGGTGCACCTGTTGATGAATATCAAGAGTGAGAATAGCTTTGGATCTTCTGCCACAGCTTTAGATTTGCTCTGTATGATCCTGCAATGTATTTAAACTATTACTTAAGATAAAGAAAAATCCTCACAGTCCCACTATTTTATATTCTACCCTAAGTTTTAAACATTATCTTTTTTTAAACCAACTACATTCTTCTAAAACAGTAAGCGCACAGTGACAGGCATTTTAAACAAGTACTTGTTATTTATTCACAATTTAGATAAAGTTTAAGGAAAGACAAAAGAAATACAAAGGACAACATCAAAATGAAAAGGAATTTTAGTGACCGAAGTGAGTCTCTACAGCCAGTGCTCTCCACACATGTCAAAATGTTACCCAAACACTGCAGGTGCAGATTTCAAATAAATCCCATAACAAACTGCTATGACTATTCCCTTCGAAATTAAACTGGGAATGAAAGTTAGCCACCTTTTATCTATGAGTACACAAACCACCAAATTCTTTCAATTTCTGCTTAAAGCCACATTTATCATTTACAAGATGGATTCTGCAATACATTTTCAAGTAGCATTTTTCATTTTGTCTGAGCTCTGCTATAAAAAAAGTCAGTGTCAACCTTCTGTATAACAAAACAGCTTTTGATGTTGCTTGTGGAATATATGCAATTCAGAGCAGTGTCACACTTGCAGCTTGGAGGTATCCTTGGAGATACTGCAACGCTTCTGCATTCAGACTAGTACTCAGCATTGACGGAACCTTAAAACATACGATAGAGCAGAAGTGTCAATGTGTGTATACATTAAACTACTGCTATATCCTGTTAATCACTGTGTCAACATACGGTATAAAGTCAAACGACATCCTGAGAGCAGCAGTTTTTCACTGTGAAAGCAGTTGCTGGAATTATTCCTGATGCTGACAGTTTTATGTACTACTTATCTGAATCAAGTATGAAAGAAGAGTAGAAAAAAACCTTCAGCTATTAAAGCACGTATCTGGATGCAGCAAACATCAGACCTCTTAGGCAATCTTTACTTACCAAATCTTGACCAAAGACACTATGGCTTAAAATAGTTAACTGTAAACTTAATTTGTTTAATTTAACATGAGTCACCTGAAATCTCCTGAGTATGTACAAATGAACTGGAGACAGGTATTAGTTATATATCTACAAGTGGATAAATTTTCATTTAAGAAACAGTGCATTTAAGATCATTGCTAAAATCAATTAATGTGAAAATACGGCCTTTTACTATGGGAGGAAAAAACCTTACAAAAGCTATATTCCATTCAAGAATAAGAGAGAGCAATACCTTGCATTCTGGTTATGACATACTTCACGTTGCTGATTATCAAACAATAGCAAAAGAGACCGTTATCAAAAAAGCATTTCTTCTCTGTAGAACTCAGCATTAACATGCCATGTATAAAAGTCACCTACCCTGCCCGGGCATGCTGTAGACAGTTTGTGAAGAGACTGTGCCAGATGGATTCTAGGGTTGTTCACCATTTGACCTACGGGATCATGTTCTTTTTTTCCAGCAAAGGCTAGCTGAGAGAATGCAGTCTGATATCCTGGAGCATCTTCTATGTCAATGAAGTGTTCTTCATCAGGGACAGTGTCATCTTCAGGCAGTTCAAAAAGGCCAATGAGGGCCTGCAGCAAAGGAGTCCTACATGTAAAGAGGGGAGGATAAAATTGGAGTGCTTAAAATACGTTAGGACAGGGTGCATTTTACAAGAATGTTCAAATTACTTGGAATCCTTTGCAATTTAGCCCTTGCAGGTACTTGCTTAGCTACTGAAATTGTAAGCACCCAATCTGAGCTGGACTTGAAAAATTGTGGATCTGTGTATTTTACAGACATAATGTAGGTGCTTGTAGTAAAAGCATGAACAATGTGTTTATTTTTTATCAGGTCAAATTGTCATGAAATATACTTAAGAAAAGCCATTAATTCATTTCCAAATTACACCTTTTCTCTAAGTACATTAAAAAAAAAAGTTCTTGTTCAGGGATCCAGTTATTGTCATTAAGTTGAGGCTACCTGACATCCCTGACTGGCTTACAATCTTCCCAGATAGCTTTCCCCAAAATTCTACTGTCAAGCTAAGATCTTACAGTCTCTCTGTCAGGTTATAAGCATGCTCAGGTATCTTGACTAGTAGAACAGTTCTATGTCAAAACTGGGCCTAGCTTTTCAGAAAGAATACAAGCTAAAAGAAAGTAGTGTATTTTCTTAAATGCAGTCCTAGCTAGTCCAATCAGTGCTATCTCCACCACAAAAATCTCAAACCAGTTCTGGCATCTGCTTTAAAAATACAGTTTTATTTGTTAAGAAAAGGAAGTGGTATGAAAAGCCTGAAACTCAGCCTCATATCAATAGCAGGCCTGAAGAAATCACAACAGTGTTTATTTGAAAAATATATTTTTACGATAGCTCACATTTTTGAAAAATCAAATAGCCTCACTAACAGGACTTGAAGAAGCGTTCTACATACCACAGCTTAGTGTACTCGGTGTCCATCATAGGAGGACATTCTGTTAATATTTTTGTAATGCCAACAGCACAGATTTTCTTTTCAACTTGTCCAGACACTTTCTGGATTTCAGGAATTATAATTTTCTCCAAAACCATTCCAAACATCCTATTATGATATTAAAAGAAAAAGTATTACAAAGCTTTATCAGCATTACGGTTGCAAAAGAAAACCAGAAACAATATGAACAACTACGAAAAAGAGAAAACCAGATTAATTTATTAAGATGCTGCCCTGCTGCAGTGATAGTAGAAATTTGAGCATACAAACTTTTCACAAAGGGAAAGGAATAAACCATCACTCTTTTCTTTTTATATCCTGCTTAGGAGATTAATATCTTGAACTATCAACGAGGAACTGTGGGCAGCAGATCAGAAAAATTGCTAGACAAATACATCAACCACATCAGAAGAAACATTTGGCTAGTCAAATTAGCAACAAATGCAGTTTGCAGTTTTAGCTGAAGGAGACAACTATTTCCTACTTTAAAAGAGAAAAATTACACAGCAGTGTTAAATTAAAAAAAAAAATCATACTAACTTTGGTTGTATGCTGTCAAATATTTCCTGCAGAGCTAACGCCCCATATTTTATGCAGTACAAGTTAATGAAGACTAGGAAACCTGTAACAAGAAAAAGGTCAAATTAAAACTCAACATGAAAAGAATAGCTTTAGAGTCAGCAGCAAAACACATTCTAACAAGTTTTTCAAGGGGATAGAAATGGCAATCTTTATAAACATCCAGTTTTAGTGAAGTACATTAACTTGCTACCTTGAAGTTTGCCTAAAAATTGCTGATCTTTTCATGTACCACACCACACTAAAACATGGCAGTAAGACAACTAAGACAAGATTCAGTCCTTTTTCCTCTTATAGCACTTACAAAGCATTAGAAAAGCCATTTGCAAATTTTTCAGATCAAGGACCAAAAGAACTCTTCAATGCTTTTAGCTGAAAACTTCATGCAATGCAGTTTTTCAGATCAGTTGTGAATCCCTTTCCTTCCCTTTGTACCAGAGCACAGATGCAATGCATTAAAAGCACCACTTACATTTTGTTTCTGGAAGACTATCATAAGCAATCCTATCATTCTTGTTCCTATCAGGTGGCATTAACCAGATTTTACAGGATTAAGTAATAGACGTTGCATATCTTGTGTAGTGGTAGTATCATTAAAATAATTTCATCAGTATGACAATAATCTTCCTGTTACAGCAGGAATAA